ATTTGTTATTTATAGAGAGTTGCTATTCGAAGGAATTGGTTTGGCATTAAAAAAGTTACAGAGTATACAGATAAAAAAAAAAGCCCAAATCATAGTAAAACCAATACCTTCGCCGCTCTGCATCGAAGCTAATAAAAGCCCAAATCATAGTAAAAGCATTACATTCACTGCTTTGCATCGAAGCTAAAATAATAGTTACGGTTTTGGTTAACACTTAAACTGAATGGATAGTGTTAACGTTCAAATGTTATTTGGAAAATAACAGCACATAATATTATAGTTCTAAAAAACACCCAAGGCTGATATTTCAAAAAATATTTTTGATATTTTTCAAAACAAAATAAGTCAAAATGTTAAATATACTATTTAACCTATAAATTAAGGTGATTAAGTTACCCTCTGAAAAATACAAAGTTGGTCAACTATATAATACTATGGTTAATATGAGAGCACAATACATTTCTAGTTGAACTGAGTTATTAAAAAATTGGTCCTAATTAATGTACACTTATTATGGTGGCTCAATAAATTTCTATTTGAAAGAATTAAATAAAAATTTGTTCCAGTTAACATTTAGTTGGGTCAATATTTATTTGTCAATTTTGGCATAAACTATAAAATATTCATATAGGTACCTAGGTAACGACCATAGTTGTCTATCATGTGATTATTTTATTAAAAAGAATTGGTTCTCTAACTTTTAAGAGAGATTATAACCCATTTATGTTGGACTGGCTTTTTCAAACAATTTTGATTTTTTCAAATAATGATAAAATGTCCAATGTAAATTTTAGAATTAGCAACTTTTACTTATTGTTCATAGAACAGCATGTGTTTATATGATGATTTCTAGATGTTTATATGGGCCGTTCCCGATGGTACTGCAATACCGGGTCAACCCGCGGTGGAGTAGGAGCAAGCCCCAGATCTCCACCAATTTTAAAAATTAGTTTAACATTTGAACCCCACGGTGTGAGGTGTACCAGATGTTAAGCTGATAAGAACAGATACTACACTTTGATCTTAGCTAAAAATAGCCGAGAAGCGATAATTCCAACGACGAACAACGTTCTATTTATGATAAAACAAGCGCACAGAAGAAACGTAGAAAGCAACATCGAAAAAACCGTAAAAAACTCAAAATTTCCACGAAAACGTGCTAAAAGTTACACTAATTACTTATAAATATCCCGTACAATATATATAACACGTTCCAAAATTATTTAGTAAGTCTCTTCGATCGAATTTTTGAAAAAAACTTGGAGAAAATGCTCAAACTCAAAAAAAATAGGGTGGCAGCGCCATCTACCGGCAATCGCATGAAACCGAACCATGCACGAATGCACGTACAGCCGCGTTCTCTGTTGCTTCACTTTACACTAATACAGTTACCTATTTATTTTCAAAGTTATTTTGAAAAAGTAAAAATTATTTACAAAACTATAGACATACGCCTTAAACGTCTATAGTTTTTTTTAGGATAATGTGAACATTATATTTTACACATAAGCGCAACAAAAGGGGGGGGGGTGCTAGAGGGATCGAGCATCCCCAAAAATTTAAACCCCAATCCTTTAGTTTTACTCTTACAATTTTGTTAATGTATTAACATACTCGTTTAAAATTATTTTATTTTTAGAATATTTTTGTTTTTAAATATTTTATTCTATATATTCTAATGGTGTGGTGAAGATAAGAATTATGTTTGTTTAGGTATACATAATTTTAGCACCCCTAATATATATATATATATATATATATATATATATATATATGTATGGACCTACCTAAAATTAAAATAATTTGCAATTTATAAAGCGATAATTGTATTGATTAATTCTGTCAAAGAACATTTTCGTGAAATAATAAATGATCGCAACGTTATCATATTGTAGAATTAATTACAATAAATCTTACAATAAGTCTTATATATAATATATATAAGACACTCTGAATAAAGAGAAAAAGAGTAAAATTACACAAATATTTAGTTGATACTTTGTGCAAAGTCGCAAGTGAATATTCGCAGTAGGATACAAACCGGTTTTTGGCAATGTGCCACCCTTCCTTGTAAACGCCAAAAAGGGACGGGCAAGTATAACGAAATGTATAATAGAATAATATGTACATACATGTGCAGCAAGTATAATAGCATATAACAGTGTACAACAGCTGTGTGTGGCAATTATTGGAAAGCACGTGGCTGCTTTGTGTGCTGCTGCTGTTCGAAATTGGGTCGAATGAACAAAAAAACGGCTTGCAAAAATAAAAGGGTTAATGTTGTTGTAACTATGACTGTGGTAGAGCATCTGTTTGAAAAAAGGAAGCAACCCGGTGGTGATGATGACCGACACAGGAAGTAAACAGCACCAAAAAAAATACAAGGATTTATCATGTAAAGGTATTAAATATTTGGGATGGTTTTTTTGGTAAGAAAGAGTGTGAGTAAAAGAACTCGATAGTTTATATGCTAAGAAGTAAACGCATCTTACCAAAAGTTGTTTTTATAATTTAGAATTCGACTTGGTCACTTGTAAAATTACAGTTATAAACAAACGGATGTAAACAGATGACAAAATAAATATCCAAATAACGACCCTGCACATTTTTCACCCTCGAATTATTATTATAACGGTTAATACCTAATGGTGGGTAACCTGACCTTAGGTTAATACCTAATGGTGGGTAACCTGACCTTAGGTTAATACCTAATGATAGGTAATAACATGTACCTACAAAGATTTTAAACAAGAGTATTATGATATTTTGTGTGCAAAAAATAAAAAAAACCAACTAGTTCTGCGTTTATAATAATATTATTATCATTATCGTTTATTTTCTGTCGCGTTGATAAGTAGATTTTCTTCACAACGTACAATCAAATGTAATAATATTATGTTACACAAACAAATGTGAAGAAAAAAGTGTACGGTTTACAAAAAAAGAAAAAAAAACAGCAACGACATTTATCAACTGCTCAAATCGCGATATCTACTATAACATATTATATTTACGATATACAAAGCGTCAACATAATTATACATATATTAATAGTATATATATATATATTTTTTTTTATAATTAAAACATAATAAAAATTATCATCATTAGGTACGACATTATATAAGTACCGCATAATAATACATGGTAAGTATACTTATATATATATTATATACTATACTTACATAATAATATATGAAAAACCATAAAAGTATTGACTAGAGTCATATAATATAATATTGTGTTAATCGCTGTTTTTTTTTTTGCTACATTAATAAAAGGGTTACCGCCTTCGATGGCGACAATCATAGTAATAATAATAATTAATTTGAAATATACAAAAAGTAATGAATTGCTAAAAATCAGAAGAAATAAAAAATTACAACCAACTATTAAGACTAAAAAATAGGTAAAAATGGCGATATAATAATAATAATTCATCACAATATTATATGGTATTATCATCAAATAGAATTCACAGATGGTTAACAACGTTATTAATGTTTACAAGCCCAAAACAGAAGTACATATTATCATTACACATACATACGGGTAAGTACGCTAAAATGTATTTAAATTTTTTTACAAACATATATATTTAATATATTTTAATTAAAATTTATTTATAATACCTGACCGTCGAACTAAATAATAATATTGTATCTATTTTTATGAGTATGTATCCTCATTATTATTATTATTTTTAAAAAAAAAAACAATAATCACAATTCTTATATATCTATGTTTAATGTGTATACACAAGGCAAAATGGTGGGTAATACAATAATTAATATATAAACGGGTCGTCGAAGGAAGCGCTTTTGGGTAACATTTATTTTTCCCGGTTGAGAACATAAAAAAAAAAACAACAATATAATATGCAACAACATTTAAGAAAAACCATTTTTTTTTTGTTTTACTACAAGTGCTGGATTTTAACAAAACAAAACAAATAGTTTATTCTCAACAATTTTTTTTTAATACAATTATTTAGGAAACAGTAAAATATCGAATGTATAGTGTCGTTGGTCGTTAATAAATTTGAAAAATACTATTATAAATCACACACTTTAATTGAAAATTTTATAAACACAAAGAAAGAAATTATTATTTTTAAACAGTTAGCTGCAGTCCATTTTTTTTTTTTTTGTTTGACTTGGAAAAAATAGATTATGAATATACATTCTATTTGTATTTATCGTTTTTTTATGTATATATGTATACGTTAAATGATAATAATATTGTGTATAAAAAAACATTATTTTTTTTTATTGATAATTATTTTGCATGCTAAAAAACACGAACACCGGAGGCGACGTAAGGTTGATAAAAAACATGGATACGTCAAAATCGTTTTTTAAATTTATGTACACATATATAATTATTTTTTATTTTATTTTGTTGTTTATAAGGAGATTATATAACAGCAGGGAAGGGAGTGCATATATAATAAATAGGATGTAAAATAGAATTTTAAAATTTTTTGCCGACGCTAACATGGGAGGTATATTATATTGTTATTATTTATTTTTTTACATTGACCAATTGGTTTTTTTTTCCTACACTTCTAATATGTTCTATTTGATAATACTATTATTAAACCGAAAAGATAAGATAACGTCAGTTGTAGTGTTGGATAATATTTTATTATTGTGCGGTGTATGGTGTGCGGTGTGGTAGGTTAAAGAAGAAAAAGAAGAAGGCACGAGATTATCTATCTATCTATCTATATATTGTGTAGGGAGAATATTAATTTAACGCTTTATCAAATTATATATTATGTAAATATATATATATGTTTGGCAAAAAAGAAAAAATGTAAACGATTCAAATAAATATAGTATAAAATTTCGTTGTATGTTTAAAAAATGTAAAAATAATCGAATCTCCTCCCTATAGGAAACCATATATATATATAAACGGTGACTGCCGGGTGTGTATTATTGAATTTGTTTAGGTTTTTCTTTTCTTATTAAAGTCTGTACTCTTATCTAATCGCAGTGGTATATTGTTTTGTAGTATTATTATTATTAAAATATTTTTTATAGTTTTTTTTTTTTTCAATTTTCTTTAATATACCTTTTTTTTTTATGCATAGCAATTATTACCACACACAAACGGTTAGAGGTTGGTACTACTGCCGAGTAAAAAAAAAACGTGCGGATCACGGCGAGTGTATTTATTATATTGTTTTCGCGTGCGCCCAGAAGTCAAAGTATACTATAATAAATACCTAATAAATAAAATAATGGCTCTCACAAGTGATAAAATTTAAAATAATAAAAAACCGTTCGGTCATTTGGGTGTGTTAAGCATTAAAAAAAAAAAATAATGAATACTAATCACACTCGCTGCAACGATTTTTTTCATGTTCAAAATGTAAATAATTATTTGAAAGATAAAAAAAAATAATGGACTCCGAATATATAAAAACAAAAAAAAAACAATATTTATAATCTGAGATCTTTTTTTTAGGTTAAGGTAAATTAAAATCTAATGTCAGTGTTATCAGCCGAAAACGCGCATGCGCACGCGCGCGTTCAGCCGAAACACACGTCCAAGCAATAAATGAGATAATTGCAAAAGCAACTATCCGTGCATTTCTTCTTGCTCTTGCTGCCGCTCTTGTCCTTTTTGCTCTTCTTGCCGGCCCGCTTGCCGCAGCCGCCGCCGCCGGGCGAATCCTCCAACTCGGGCGGCAACTGATGGTGGTGTCCGCCGGACGACGACGACGACGCCCGGCCGGCCGCGGACGCCCGCCGTTTGATGACGTACGACAGCGCGGCCGCGGCGCGCCTAGTTCGTGCCGTGGCCATGTACTCGAGCGCCTCTTTGGTCAGCCGCTGGCACGTCCACTTGGGGTGTTTGGGGTTGAGTATGTGTTTCATGATGACGGCCGTCTCTTGGGCATTGAACAGACCGCTGGGCATGGGCCCGGACAGGAACTCGTTGGCCGTCATCAGCAGGTACCGCACGGACAGCAGCAGCGTGTCGTCCAGCACCAGCCGCTTGTTAGCCACCGTCAGCTCGAGGTGCTGCTGTTTGCATTTGTGCGTGCACCACCGTTCCAATGTGTTGAACAGCACCTGTCGAGCAAAAGCGTGTCAATGTTGTACTTGAATACTTCTTTTTGATTTGTCTTATAAGTCAAGTCAATGTGTTAATAATGTATGCATCTCTAAGTTTAGGACAAAGAAAGTTAATAATAGAATTAAGAAAAATATTTTTTTTTAATATCAACACATGACTATCCAAGTCTCAAGTTTTAATAATACAATTACAAATGGTCGTTTGCCGATGAAATACTCTCCATTTATAAATATGTTGAATTATGCATACAAAAAGTTTTTTGCTCGTTAATTTCCATACAATCAGTCGAATACCAATTGATGAACCTACCTAGAGCTCGGACAACTGACAAGTTGATTCGGTATATAATTACAACTTAAATAAGGTCAACATACTCGGATATCATATTATAATATATGTTTTTCTCGCAATAACAGTTTTGTTTTGTCTCACAAATATCGTCATATCGTCCCAATGTAGCAAAAAAAATGCCTAAATTCTTTTTAACAATTGAATAATCGCAGCAGAAACCGGTTTGTTTATTTTTAATGCATTTACCTAGTTTTGATACACATCCATTTTTGTTATCGTTTTAGTATATATTTTTGATTTGATAGCGACGATTATTGAGAAAACCGAAAACGCACTTAATTTTAATATTGTTATCAATGCAATATGTATACAAGCAAATTTAGTATAAAAAGCAAATTGGCTTGCTTAGCCTCTCATTATAGTTACCTTATTTTACCCAACAAAAAGAGAGTGTTAATATTATTATTTATCAACCTTAAATTTAAAAAACATACAATTTATATGAACCTACATTAAAAAAAAATTAAGTTTAATAAAAAATAACAGTTCATGTAGATACATCAATACATGCATATGTCCTGCAATCTAGTATCTCTACTATCTTATCTCTAATCCACTATCTCTATTATTTCACCTCCATAATTCCTTAATACTCCTCCATAATACTCCATGATCCTCATTCATAATCCCTCCATAATCGTAAATAATTCCTTAAGACTCCTCTATACTTTTTCATAATCCTTCAAAATCCCTTTAAAATCCCTCCATAATCGTCAATAATTCTTTAAGACTCATCTATACTCTTTCATAATCCTCCACCATACTCCTCCATAATCCATAATAACGTGACGGACAAATTTCCAAAATGACCCCCAGCCATAAGACACGTCCGTGTCAAAAAAATCCGTTTTGGTGATTACGCAGAAATGATTACACACTCACCAATTCGCTGGACACGGCCAGTCCGTCCCTGCGGAACAGTTCCCGTAGTTCCGCCGTGTCTAGTTCGTCGACGCTCTCGTCGGCCAACACTCTGTCGGCGTTGTGGTCGATGAAACCGCCGCAGTACGCCAACAGCCCGTCGTAATGATGGGCCATCCGGGCAAACGCCTCGGTGTGCGCGTCGTCGTCCCTGCCGCCGTCGAACGGTATGAGGTCCTCCAGCGGCGGCGCGGTCGCCCTGGTCACGGCCGGCGACGAACACGTGCCGTCCCGCGGCACGGTCTGGCCACCGTACAGCCTGGCCGCCTGGTACACCATCAGCACCGTGTCCACGGCCACGTTCCGGGTCAGGTAGCCGATGCACTCGTCCACCAGGTCCACGCACATGTATTTGTTGGCCAGCGCCAACGTCTCCAACGCGGTCACCACCGACTTTAGTTCCACTTGGTTTTTGTACATGTATCTGTATTAAAAAAAAAACAACCGAAACATTAATAACTCTATTTAGTGTTTGACACAACAGGTTTGATTGTTGGCCTCGGTTAGGTTAGGTTAGGTTAGGTTAGGTTATTATATTGTTGCTAAACACACAATTCTTGGCAAAGACAATGTGTTATTTTGTTATTCTCAATTAATGAAGAAAACAAACTATAATATACTTTATTAACAAAAAAAAAAAATGTGACATGACCTGTTTTTCAGCTCAAATATATCATCAATATTAATAACAATAAAAACTATTTTTCAACTATATGTATATATTTTATTCACAAAAATATATTATAATTTAATGCAAAAAAAAAAAAAAATGTACAGAATCATATTATAACTAGAGTAAAATATTATTATACTATTGAAAAGGAGTATGATGTTCTATTGGGTAATTTAATTTTTGCTTTTCCACCACATACGAATAGGCGGCTTGCAAATGACTAAATTAATATATCAAACATAATAAACTGGCAAACAACAAACAGTATTAATAATGATGAATTATGACACTGATTAATGCACAAAATGTACATTTGAATCAAAGGTTATCACAATGAAGGGCTCGAATAAACATCACCTTGTACTACATTCCTTGTGTTTACAAGCATCTTTCACAAAAGTTTTTTTCAATATAACTATATATAAATATTTGAGAGGTATCTTCCAAAATGACAATTTGCATTATTATTTCATTAATTCTACTTAGAGGGCCTAACAACGGCATATTTGTCTTGTTTTCATAATCACTTGTAAAAAAAAATATAATATATATATATATATATATATATACCTATTCTCATTTACACAATAGTCTTTATTTTTTAGTAAGATGATGTTATACAATATATAGTTTACTCATATTATCATATCAAAACCATTGCATCATATCACTTTACTGACTAAGAATACATGTCTAAGTGTCTGTTGGATTTGGTGATCAATTTGTGTATAAAAGATGGTGGCATGTCGCCAAGAATAAAGCAAAATTCAAAAGATTAATCGACATTCTCAATACCAGTGTTGCATACGATTAACCAATTAAATACCACGTTATTTGTTTAAGGACAATATCACATTAAACAAGACAAGAAAGTAAATTAAAACCACTTTGATGGACATTTTATGAAAACCACCTCACAGTTGCCCGTTATTATAATAAGTGCATAACGAATGAGGTGTAATAAATATACACCATATGGAAAATACAAAATCTACAACAATTCTCTTTCCTTTGGCTTTATCTTCTATTGCAGTTGACAAGAAACCGTAATTACACTTTCATTTCCATATAATTCTCAACCACAAATAATACAATGCAAGCAGTAGCAAGTAGCTCTGTGCACACACATGTCATCCATATCTACTTAAATATATTAGTACACACAATAATACACACCATCTTGGAATGCTCGATTGTTTTACATATTTTTTCTTCTTACTCCAATCTATGTATAGCCATGACCACTGCACTTGGCACGGATTTATTATTTTTATTTAAAGTTAATTTTGCAATGTAAAGAAATGTAATAAGTAACATGTTGACTGATTACCGCGAGTACATTCGTTGGCAACTAACAAAAAACACAAGCCCGTCGTCTCTTTTTTTGTATCCACTTAAAACAATTATAATGTTTACTTAACACACACCTGGTCATTCCGCCGCTGCAGCAGTGGTAACCTCGGTTTGTGTGATAACAATAGTATGTGTGGTAACCGTAGTATGTGTGGTAACCGTGGTATGCATGGACAATAATGGCGGCATGTTCAAACATTCTTAAAATGTATCTTTATCTTTGTTTTTGTCTTTGTCTTTAACATTATCATTACAATTATTACCATTACATTATGTCATTATCTTAATCGTTAACGTTATCCTTCTTTCTGCGTATCACAAAAAACATGGTTACCCCACATACCATGATTACTAAAAATACCAAGGTTATCACACATGACACGGTTACCATATATGCATCAAAATAACAAATCTTAAAATAGCTAGAGACTTAATTTACAAATAATAGGGTTTACAGTCTGTATAATATGTGTATAATCTGTACAGTTGAACAATTTCTTTGCAACTCACTTGAGAAGGTTGTCGAACGCTCTGGGGTCGTCGTCGGGTATGTGTATAGGGGTGCCTTTTTTAGACCATGGTTCCCGTAGCATGGCGTTAAACACAGGGTATTGGCATAGAACGTCAATGTGACCTGGAAACCTCCAACATTCGGGATCGCCGACTAAAAATATCACGTCGCTGCCTGCTTCGTTGTTGTACAGATTCTTCCATCTATATAAAAAAAAACCGTCAAACAATAAAAAGATTATTCGTCTGAAAAATGTATTATTCGCGAAAAAAACTCTCCATAAAATATATAGTAGTCGAACTGATTTTGTGTTCTAATAAATATTTTTTGTTAAATACCACTCGAAAGAACTATAGAGACTAGAGATTTTAGTACATAGTAGTTTAGTAGTCTGATATAGTTTTTTTCTAGATGGTCTAGTAGTTACTAGATGTGTATAATTGTTACTACGAATTTCATGTCACCATTTTCGCGTTACGCTTTTACTGATAAGAGATAAGAGATGAGTGATAAGAGATAACAGGTATACCGAAACATAGCCACACAATTACATATATATTTATGTACAGGATGTTCCAGCATGAAAGGTATGTAATAGATGATTAGACATCTGGGGAACCCCCAAATAAGCCCCCCCGTTTTCATTTTTTTGATAAGTCAAAAATTTAAGATTTTGACAGTTAACTTAAAAAAAATCAAAAACAATTTCCTGTTATTCAGTGCAAAAAGCTCACCTTAAAAGAGGGGTCACATCGTTTTCAGTCCCTTTCGGCCCCTAACTCAAAAAATGATAAGAGACATGAGATAAGAAATAAATGATAAGTGATAAATTATATGAGAAATAAGAAATAAACGATGAGATATTAATGATAAGAATTAAATGGTTAGAAGTAAGAAATAAATGTTTAGATTTTGATAAGAGAAAATAAATATTTTGAGTTAGGGGCGGAAGGGACTGAATGTGACCCCTCTTTTAAGGTAAGCTTTTTGCACTGAATAACAGGAAATCATTTTTTTTTTTATGTCATTATTTTTTTACTCAACTGTCGAAAGATTCAATTTTTGATTGATCGAAAAATGTAAAACGGGGTGCTTATTTGGAGGTCCCCCAGATGTCCAATCCCCTTTTACTTACCTTTCATGCTGGAACACCCTGTATGTATAATAAACTAGATTGCTAAGTGGACATTAGAAAAAATCGAAGTTACCGTTTTCCGCCACCTTTGTGGAAATTAGAACCTTATCACGTGTTTGTACCTGTTATCAGTGCTTATAACAATCATAAAAGTTAATCTGATAGCGCAGAATCACAGTTTTGTAAATAGGGTGGTCGTTTTATCGTGAACTACTCAATATCTGCCATAGGGTTTAATGAGAAATTACATTTTTTATTTTTTTATATTGTTTTCATATTTTTACCCACCTCCCAACTTAAACGTTAACGTATATATTTCAACCCCACGAAAATGGCCGACGTCGACTTCCGTTCTTATCACTAGTTTGCAATCTAGTTTATATATATATAAACATCATTGTTTATATAATATTATAACATTATATATATAATCTGTGCATATTCATGATGCAGAGAGATTTAATTTGAAAATGTCTTAAACCGGATTCATATTTGATATAAGTACAAATATTACTTATAACTATTAAATAAACCAAACGTAAACAATACAATCAAAATAGAAATAGTCACCGTTTGGTTGTCTAGAAATTCAATTGCGATTATTTGCCATTCCTGGTGTGTAAAATAATAATAACTTCATAATGGAAGTCACGTGTGCTGAGGGTATTAACCACCACATTCACGTTGAAAATTGCTCGGAAGTTCATAACAAAGATATGTTAAAGTAGAAAAGTATAAAGACTGTTGTAATAATATCAAGGTTCGTTCTATCGGTTACGCAGATCGCGCAAGAGTACAATAAAAAGTGCAAATTAGGTAAAATATATTATATTTATACATAAATATATTTTTTTTAATGCTTATTGCGTTGACGCTTCTATAAATAGTGTATTCGAACAATTAAAAAATAAAACTATTGAAAAAGTAACGTTTAACCATTGGCTAGGCGAAAGACCAAACCTCAATACAAACATTTGACTCGAGACAAAAGAATATAATGCAAAAACAATTTCATCAACGAGACGTTGCCATTAAAAATACAAGCCAATTCGGTAGTTACACAGTATTATTATACAACAGCGTGAAAACTAGTTCAAAGTTAACGAATCATATACTATTATATATAGTTTTAGACAACAAAGATTGATACACTATATTTTAGTTTGACTCTTTTACACGACTTGCTGTTCACGTCAATTGTATATTTTATCCTACAAACCATATATAATAATATATAGGTGTAAGTACTACAAAAAGGGTTTATATAATTAATTTTCACTAAGCTAAAAAGTTCTAGTCTCAAGTAATCAGGTAATGAATCCACCATACACACACAGTAATAATATAAAGAGATGAACTAACATAAACTATCTTGTATGCAAGAGCGAATTAAAAAGTAGGACTAAAACCAGTATAACATAAAGTATAACATATGACCACATAAAGGAAAAAAATAGTCTTTATTGTTGAACAAATAAAACAACTAGGTATTGTTGTTAATTAATTAAAATAAATAGCTAGTGCTTAAATAACTTAAATACAAATTAATAATTATAAATTTAATATATTTTATCGAATTTAAAAACAATATTTTTTCAAAATAGTGTTATCATTGATATCTTATCACCACGATATATTGAACGATAATTATTTTCTTCTATCTTGACAGACTGACTTTAGTCCTACTTTTTGCAACACATTAAAACTACTATAGCCACCTCACATCTTTCAAAAAATTAAATGAGAAAATCGACTGGTAACTTTTTGCTGGAGGAGTGAACGAGTGTCCAAATCTCAATAATGTTAACATTACCAAGACAATTTATTCCTTGCCAATGGTCATAAGTAGAATACGTTGATTTGGTTGGCTTGAAAAGAGTAGCCGCCCACTGATGACACTCTTGTTAATTTGGTTTTTTATTAATTATGATAGAGAAGGTCTGAAGAGGTGGATTGTTGGGCATCGAGGGTAATGTAAGTAGTCATTTACAAGAGTGTTTGGATGGTTCTGATAACGACAATTTGGGTTATAGTTTTCACTTGTAGACCCGAATGCAATAATAGTATGATTTGAGATATAATGTGGGGCGGCGTTAGTGATAAGACGGAATATTCTATTTTGTGAGACTTGTATTTTGCTGAGGTTTAAAGTAATCCGTCTCGTGTGAAAATATTCCTCTTTGAATGGTCACAAAGCAAAATACTATATTGAAGACATTTTGTTAAGGGTGAAATTACAAGTGCAATACACATCAATGCACACACACACGTTTGACAGGCAGGCGGAAGAGAAAATGGAAAATGACACATATTTTCTACTGTCTACCGTCGGGTTTCAGATGTCTTTCTGAAAAGTAAAAGGTGCGACATTCCATCCGCCATTGTGGTATTACCCTTTAGTTATTTGCAAGGTGCGAAATCTCAGGCAACAACAACACTTGACCCCGCTAAATTTCATAACGGGACCCGCCGGGGATGCAGGGATGGCACGATGAAGGTCAGACCCAGTGGTATAGGTACAACAATAAGAAATCCAACGGTAAACGAATATAATATACATACAAACAGTAGCCTTCTTACCTGCCGTCTTTGGACGCGTTATTTTGATACATGATTTTCGGCAACAGCCCGCGGTTCTTGACCATCGACGGTCGATCCTCTGCTTCTACCGGAGAAGGGGACGGCCTCCTGGCACCGCTGCAAACACATATTAATGTCTCGTGTTAACATAATAATATAATCAGCCGGTTTCAACTATTGTTAAATACACTCTTAACACAATGTTAGAATTAATAATTAATTTAAATAAAAACATCTGGTCAAACGAAATAAATTTTTTCACCGTTACATTATTATTGTTAAATTATATTTTTGTTAAGTTAACAAAACCGTTAGTTGGGTTACCTCGATTCCAACGTTCTCATTGGTTATTAATATATGTGATAACTGATAAGTGATAAGTGATCGTATATTTTAATTTGTCAGTTTGTTATTATTTGGCATTTAATTTTACTTTCTTTTAACGTTGCGGTTTGTATAAAAATTTATAAATATTATAATTTTTAAGATAGTCTATACCTTTCTAAAAAATAGTGTGTCATCGAAGTCATTAAAATAATTTGTTTTCTATTTTTAAGGCCTAAAAAAAGAAGTACGTAGTGATAAGAATTATTTCCTTTGTTATTCTCAAGACAGGCAAGACATCATAATATTATCTAAATTACAAAATACAATACATTTTGATATTTGAACCTATAATGCAAGTCTGTGCCATTACTTTTTACCTAATCTACCTACATAAAATAACTTCTGCTTACCTAATAAAGAGTTATCCAAGTTGTATTTTCTATTGTTCTCTAAATAGTCAATATAAAGAAGTTCCTCATCAAATGTGTAATTCATTATTATATATTACTAGTATACTCAGTCAACAAAAATTATAAACCAATTTCTGAACTATAATAATATAAATATTATATATAAGTACAGAACCCACACCTGTTCTGCACATTCTGCATTGTTATATCTTAGTAATTTTGAGTTGTACTATGTAATGGGTTGTTCTTTTAACGCCCTACCCTAGTTTACTCTAAAAATAATTGCAATTTTGTACAATAGTAGACAATATTCAAATTTTTTTTTATCTTTTTTAGTATTTGCTTGAGCTCAATCGACTGATAAAATTTAAATGGCAACGTATATAATTAGTTTTTTTTTAATAAGATAGTAATTTACTAAAAAATTGAATTATTTTTGAAGTTATTTAAGTTTTTATAATTTAGGACGGGAGATGAAGTGCAGTTGAGAAAAATAACTCTACTCTCTGCACATTCCTCCTGTTCTAAGTATTAAAATTTAGAAATGTTCAAAAGTGGTTATCGACCGTTCTACATTTTCAGCAAAATGTACGTTACCGTTTAAGTTTTAAATGTTGATATAGCTCTAGAAAATACTAAAAAAGATCAACAAATTTAACAATGTCTGATATGTATAGCAATAGTAATATAGCATAAACAAAAAGTGTAACATTACAAAATTATTTTAACAGTAAACTAGTGTAGTTATTTCTAATATATATATTTTAGCAATATTAGTTCTATTATACGCTTTTGCAACAATACAATTAATAGATACCAGTTGTCACAAGTTCTAGAACTCAATGTAAAGTAATTTCTATCTATAATGACAGCATAATATATTAAAGAAATGAATTTTTGATTTTGCGATTATAAAACATACTACGACAAACTGCCGTATGTAATGTTGTTTGAATATGTACACTGTTTGCTTTGTTTTGATTGAATGCTTAGTACACATTATTTATTGTTTATCGTTATAATTTATAAGACTAATGCTGGGTTACACCAAATATTTAGAGATAAACTCGTTTAACTGGATTTAAAATTAATTCTGTTGCATAAAATTGTATATGTTGTTAAAAATGTTTGTATAGTTTAATTTTGTTATCAATGTTTTGCGTTAAAATGGTGATAATGGAAAAGCGCGTTATCAGTTTATCATTGATCAGACCGTTACCGATACCGTTGATTCGATAACCAGCATTCTGGTAATAACCTGAGTATAAAACAACGATTGAGCCACACATGTTAATTTAACAAGTTAGTTTATTACACGGTGGAAAATAATTTATCAATAGAGAACGACAAGTTTGGTGCAACCGTTTCATACAATTATCATACAGAGTTCAATTATTATTTGGATATATTATTTTTTTTTATTTGGAAGAGCATGTCGATACAAATTTTAGCATACTTGTCGAACACCCGAGATATCAGAATATCACACCAAAGTACACATAACTAGCATAATATTATATACACAACGTTTTTTTTCTGTGTGTGACAGAAACGATAAAAGGACAAGACCGCGGTGGCAACGTACAGGAAACCTCGCCCTGCACTTTTTGTCTACAAAAAACACCACATTATTATTATTTAGTGCTGTGAAAAATCTCGTTTACCGGCCACCGGTGCAATGGTAGAACCTTATTATAAATGCATATTGTTTACTTTGTAGTTTATATATGGATCATTATAAGACTGGATGGTAACGGATCACATCGCTCACAGCACTACCAGTTTGTTGTCAAAAATGATAAACATATTTGAAGTCTTACTTCCGGGTAAAATTACAAAATCCTACAAAGAAAATCAATGTAATGGAAATGATTTTTTAACAACAATTGAATTAATATAAATAGGTAGATTTTTGGATGTAAGGTTTATTTAGAAAACGCCCAATCTGTATATAATAATAACTTAGAAATTAAATGTATACTAAAAGTCCCGTCTAAGGCTATGACCATTGATTTTCTATGTTTAACTTATCATTATTCTGGTTAGAGATGCACATAAGATAGTGAATAATAAATACAAGGACACAAACCCGCCGCTTGAACGTTTTCTAAGAAATTTACATTTTCTTCTTTCTTACAGTTTGTTTGCAAATTTACCCGTTTGCCATATTATTATATTGGCTAAATAATGTCACACCTAGGTTAATGCAAATAATTTGTCTAAGATAAAAATATATCCTATATTTACTTTCCCAAACATTTTTTGAGGTTATTACTCTTGAGAATATCATATATATAAATATAATATATTACTAACAAGTACCTCGATAATAGAGGTCCTTGGTAAAGAATTAAAAACAGTATATCTAGATTTATTATTGCTGCCCATATTTTAACATCGACTCTGCTCGGTCTAACTACTCTATTGATACATTATTCTAGTTGTTAAAAAATAAAACTTTTATCAATTACCAGTAATATATTTTTATAGGGAACCGGACAAGTGAGTTTGGGGTAAGATATACATATTTCATGTTTGTTGATATAATATATGCTTAAACTAATTTAAGTGGGGTCAAACGATACACTTGAAACACCATAAAAAAAAACCAACATACTTCAATTCAACATGATATTATCATTAATCTTGTTGTATGTCATGCATCTATTAAATTTTATTGCATCTTCTATGAGGGTCCTAAATAGTATATTAATCTTTGGAAATTGATTATACACCTCATTTTTTCACCCATGTGTGATGTGTCTATTTGAATTTCTTTATCATATAAGGACTACACTAAAACAAATCCTAGACCACTTTGCCTGACTAAACTATTGAATTTTGTTTATATAATTATAATATGTTTATGCTGAATATTTAATGGCCAATAAAATAGTATAATCAGTTGGTATTTATTGATCTTGCTCGTCCGTTTGTATTACACACAAATAAACAAAAGTGTTGCCCATAGCAACGTACCAATTGTTAAAGTCGCTTTTCTTTTGAATTAAATACACATTACTTATTGTGTGTTTTATATAGGTACAAATCGTGTCAACTCAAAATTATTATTTTTGAAGATGTGTAACGGGGTTTGATAGGTTTAGTAGCTTCTGAAATTCTGTTCATTGTTGTAGTCGAAGAGGAAAACAATTGGTCTATCTACAAATCATTATTTTCAAACCAAAATCTTTAAGTAATGAAAACTTAAACGAAAATGCAATTGCTATGCTTCTCTTCCCGTCAACGTTTTAAGTACTTGTAAGTCAAAAAATAATAATTCAAACTGTTAATGGGCTAACATTTTTTTTCAACTAGATATCCTCGTCGTTAAACTAGCAAAACAAGTTGGATATGATTTTGACATTTTCATGTCTTAGGCTCTGGCACATAACCGAAAAAAAAGTGTTATTTACTTAGTGTCACAAAAACGCTGTTATCTGATAAGAGATTAGAGATAAGGGATGGGTGTAGGAATGGGGGTGGGAATGTTTTAGTGTTCCCAAAAAAGCGTTACGCTGTTATCTGATAAGAGATATGTTGTACGTTCAACGTTCAAATTAGAACTAAATGATAAATTCAAAATAGTATAAGGGCCCAAATTCTCTATGAATTGTTTTAAGCCAGATATTAAACACTAAAATATTGGCCAGAAACTTGATATGTTTACTAGCCACCTTAGATACATGAAAATGTTCTTTCGTGGTTGCAGACTCGGCTGAAAAAGAGGTTTTATTTTCAAAGGTAAGCTTAGAAAACTCTCCTTAACAAAAAAAGAAAACGAAAATCATTGTAAAATCTTCTCGGCGTTCAAAAGCCAAAAAACGAAAAATCACAAAGCAATGATCAAAATACAGTCCACAGGAATACATTTGAATGTCATTTCCATTTTGTTTAACCAAGGCCAGTGGGCATTGGATTTATATAATAGCTGGGGGTCCTTCCTTTACAAACGCCAATAGTTTATGTACATAATAATACTCAGTTTGTTGATATCATTTAGACATAAAAAAATTTGCAAAAATCTACACTTACTCGATAGGTACCAACTCGGATTCGGTAAGTCATGGTGTTTATGGCAAGGTGGTATCACATCACGTGGGCATGGAAAGGGCATTCTTAAATTAGTCGACGGCCATTTATAGAGCTGTTTACACGGTGGTAAAAAAAAAAAAACCGCACGCATTCATATAGTTTAAACGACCAAAATAGACGTCCTAAAAATTTACACTATACTCTCTCCAATGGAAACACGGTGGTATTAATAAGATTATTAAAAAACAAACCGATGACCAATCTTATGTAATGGCAACGGTGCCAAACTCTGGAGCGGCGGCAGCGCTATTTTCGACCTCACCGTCAGAGCGATCCATTGGCCTATCATAAAAAATTATAATTATTTACAAACAGCTTTCTGTATGCGCCTAAATGTATAATAAATTTGTATTTTTTCTCAAAACGAACACCCGCTGTGAGAATAACAATTATCATAATACATTATTATTATAGTAAAAAATTTCACTTAATATTGTCCACCGACCAAACGGTATGGTTGTATGAAGATGTCGTTTAACAAAAAACTAAAAAACCAACTCAACCGTACAATGTGTGTGTGCTGCTCGTCACAGAAAGTAAATTATAACGTGCACACGAATATTTACATAATACAATATACCGAATAGCCATAGGCCATTACACGTGTAGAGGGGTACACCCTGTCGGTAGTTTGGTACATAGATTATTCCGGGATATTATATTGGAGTGGTGACCGTATAAATAACAACAGTAATAATAATGATAATGGTACCTGTACGTTCTGTAAAAGCGGGAAAACTTTTCTTAAAAAAAAAAAAAAAAGCGCGTACCTTCGGTAGGTAATTACGGCGTTATTTTTTATTTAGGTATAAGGTATATAACACCGGTAAAGTCCTGCGGTATACAACTCTGAAGAAGTGGCCGATATAAATAATACAGGGTGATCGTTTTATAATGGGCCACTCGATATCTCATGGGGTTTACTGATGTTGTGTTCCAATAAATATTTTTGCTAAATACCCCGAAAGAGAACTAGGGACTAGAGATTTTAGTATAGTATAGTTTAGTAGTCTCATATTATAGTTTTCTAGTTACTAGATATTATGTACATTATTGTGTATAACGGTTACTGGATACATACAATTTCTTGTCTTCATTTTCGCGTTACACTTTTACTTTCACGTGATAAGAGATAAGAGATGAGTGATAACAGATAACGGATATACCGAAACATGTCCACACAGATATACCTATATTTCATAATAAACTAGATTGTTAAGTGTACACGCCGCCAATAGAGAAAATTGAAGTTACCATTTTCCGTCACCTTTGTAGGAATTAGACCCTTATCACATGTTTGTACCTGTTATCACTGCTTATAACAATTAAAAGTTAAGCTGATAGCGCAGAATCACAGTTATATATAGAGTGATCGTTTTGTCGTGAACCACTCAGTATCTCATAGGGTTTAATAAGAAATTTAAAAAAAAATTTTCCATGGTTTTATACAATGTAATCTCAATTTTTCACAACTTCAGACAAAAAGTTAACGAAATGTGATAACTGATAAGTGATATAATATTATAATCAAAACTCAACTAGTTATTATTATAATAATATGATCTATGACATTTTATTTTAACATGCCAATTAACTTTTAATCAAGCTGATTTCGTCTGATTATAACTTAACAATCGTTTTAACAACGTGTTAAAACTAACACAAATCTCGACGGAAACCAAATTTTCATTAACAAATGTCGGTGAAATCGGCTGAAAGTATCGACAAGTCAAAGTTTATTACACTCGATGGTAAATAATTTATACAACAGATAGTGGCCCGTGATAAAAGAATCACCCTGTATTATTATACCTACATATATATATATATATATATATATATAAACGGTGTATGATCGTCCGTCGTCGATTTACCGCGCGCCCGAGGGAGAGATGCGGCGGCGGCTGCGTTTAAACGGGTCAACGCGTGCTCACCGCCCGTTTGTCCGTCCTTATAGTATACACACACACACAATATAACAATATATTATTTTACATACACACTCACATATTATGAGATACGTCGATTATAATACCTATATATATTGTGGTCGCGTGGTGGTTATATGTATATATATATATATATAAGAAGAAGAACATGTATAGATAAGATCCACTATGAGTCGATTGTTACCGTTAAAGAACCGTAATACCTACTCGTATAATATAATCCATAACAAATACCGCGCGGTTTACTAAAAAAAAAAACCGCCCAAGTGACAGATGAGCTACGTTTATTTGCAGCGTTGGACCTTAAACCATTCAATGCCAAATTTTAAAGTATAAAAATTGATATATAGCTCTAGAATATCAGAAATTTCAAAAAAAGTATGTATTTATATCTAAAAAAATAACGTTTGGCGGACAGCTTTAGATTTCTTTAACAACAGTTATAAGATGCCACCTAATTCAAATTTATTTTTTCCAACGAAATAAAAATTATAAAATAGTATGTTTGATGATTTTTAAAAGCGCTAATTTTAAGTTTCAAGGCTTAAAACCGAGTTCCTACAAAATTGAATTTATCATTTGGGTTAATCAACCTAAGGACTGGGGTGGCCGACTCCGTGTAGTTGGGATTGTAAGGACTAAGATAAAGAAGAAGAATAAGAATAAGAAGAATAACTTATGGGCTAGAAATAATACATTAATATCATATTATTGTCGTTGGACACCGTCAAAATTAAAACTCCCAACATGATTTTCATTTCCATTAATGGCCGCATTATGGAAATACATATTCAGCCGGCTTCATCAACTATTAGTAAATACACTCTTAACAAAATTTTACTTGGGTTACCAAAGCGGTTACCTTGATTCCAACGTTCTCATTGGTTATCACGAAATGTGATAACTGGTGAGTGATAATATTATAATTTTATAATAAAATCAATTAGTAATGAATAATTCGATTTATGGCATTTTAACATGCCAACCAACTTGTTGACAATCTTAACAATCGTTTTAACAACGTGTCACTGTCAAGGCTTACAAATCTCGATGAAACCGAATTTTCACTAACTAATTGTTAAATATAATTAACAACAAGTTTAATCCTAAACAAATGTTGGTGAAATCGGCTGATTATATACTATTTTCGTTACGTTTAAACATGACTTAACAAACTGCAATTTTTCCATCAAAATTGATATGATTAGTAAGTATTGACAATTTATATTCGGACACAAGGTTTTCACATAGGTAGGTACTTGATTTGTACTTAGTTCGTCAACCGAATTGCATTACGATTTTCGATTCAAGCATAAGTGGAGAAAAATGATTATCAAAGTACTTATTATTTAAGCAGTACACAGGTACATCATCAAGTTGGACTCGTTCGATTATTTAAACTCATACAGCGTAATTCATTTTTTATCTTGTATCAACAATACTATCGTCCATCAATTCTCATCTCTGGATAATTAGTTAAGTATAGGGAAAAAAAATGTATACATTTAGACGAGCTATGTTTTAATGTCAAATTTTCCAACAATTTAATATAGTGATTTAATAACAATGTAATGTTATAATCACTTCAACACACGGTCGATGCCGCATAGCTATTATAATTGTTTTTAACGCATACAATATACATTTGTATTATTTACATTATAATATAGCACAGATGCTGAAAATCGATAGCGATAATGAATGTAATATAATTATGGACATTGACCATTAATCTCGACGGATTTCCTTAAACTTACAAACGCACACAATTGCAGTGGCGGATGCAAACTTTGAAATTTAACGAAAAGAGATTAAATTTAGAAAACACTCTGAAATCAAACACTACCGCCAAGAAAATAATAATTATAATATTGTCTATTGGACAATCAATCAATTTGTATTCGAATGTTGATTTTATATTATATTGTTTGGACCTCGTCATTCCGCCCGGAGTCAATATATTATAAATTACAAGTTTTCAAAACGCTAATGATTTATTTATGATTTCCACATAGGTATGTATATTTTTAAAGGGGAAAAATCTAAATACAATCACATAGTTATTTATGAGGTTATACCAGCGCATAATTTATAGTTTACAAACTTTGGCAACAAATTGTAATGAAGCATAGTACGCTCAAGTGTAATGGAAAATAATATATAAAAAAACAAAACGGGAGGTTAGGTTAGGTTGGGTAGGTAAGGTTAGGTTGGTTAGGTTAGGTTAGGTAAGGTTAAGATAGGTTAGGTTAGGACAGATAACAATTATTATTAATTAAATTTTGTTTTTTTTTTATTATTATTATTGAACGTTTTTAAATACGGTTGGTTAAGTTAGGTTAAGTTAGGTTAGGTTAGGACAGATAACAAATATTATTAATTAAATATTGTTTTTTTTCTTTTTATTATTGAACGGTATTCGTTTTTAAAGACGGCTGTGTCTAGTAATAATAATAATTAATCTAAAGATATACCGCGGTAAAAAGTATTTATAATTATTATTCTATTTGGTTCTATGTACTATAGAACACTCACCTGAGTCCCATTGATAAAGATTCTTGTTCGACGAAACGATAATATTATTATCGATTATTATTAAGATTCGTGTTCTATTAGTGTTTTCTATTTTTTTTTTTTACCCCAGAAACCGCACACTAATTTACGTACACGAATTATACGCGAAGAATGTGCAGCCGCGGATCGCGTCCATTGTTGTTGTTATTATTATAGTGAAAATTTCCCGAACAAATCCCGTCGATTATATATATATATATAATTTTTTTTGTGTGTGTATGAGTTATTCACGTCGATTTTTATACTTCTTTTTTTCGGTCAAAAATTACAATCCGTCGAAAAAGAAAAAAACACAATAAATCGCCGACCGTTTTTTTTTTCGGGTAAAAGTATTCAACAAAAATCGAAACCAACGCACTTCGGATCACTTTGGAATAGACAATTTAAAAAAACAAATATATATATTTTTATTATGAGATTTTTGATCTTTACCGTACACAATATACATACAATGCGGAACACACGCGGGTTGATCACTACGCGGCGGATGACGGACGGACAGCACGCAGTTATCGCCGAACGAATGCCGGCAAGCACTGAACGGCCGGTCGGGTGGACGCACGCGATAAGGGTGCAGGCCGCGGCCGCGGCGGCGCGGCGTCGTCGTCGTCGCCGGAGAAACGGCCAGCCGCCGTCTCCCCACCACCACCGCGACCGACATTAACCGCCTCCACCGCTGCCGCCTCTGACCGGTGCAATTAGCCGGCGGCAAACACGGTTGTGTACCATAAAGGTAACCGAAGCGATCGCCGCCGCGCCGTGGCCGGCCCTGGCCGACCTCTGTACCGGTGGTGGAGAAGAGGGTCAACGTACATAATATTATTTTATTAACGTTTTTTTTTTACATGGTCGTTGCCGCAGCCGCCGCCGTTGCCCGTGCGTGTGTATTGTTATTATTATTATTATTTTAGAGCACACGACTATAATGTAATTTATATTTTTTACAATTTTTATATATATATGCACTGCTTGAATAGGTATGGTCATATTTGTAAGAAAAAAAAAACCATCTCAAAGTAGACTACTTAAAATCCACAATCATCTTAAATAACCTAACCTATAATAATTATTACAACGATATTCGATGTATACATGATATATAAGTATATATGACTATTTCTTAATTCAAATATAAAAAATATCAGAATTTATGATTCAACAGTATCCAATAAAAAAAATTACAATTATTTCAAATAGACTAGCAAGCTTAACAATTATTTAAAAACTTGTCAAGTATTTTATATGATACGTTTAAAAACTCTACGCGCATTGATCGAGTATTTTGTTTATTTTCTTAACACTTTTGTCGAAAATGTTTGGTAAATAGGATAATCGTTAATCGTTGAATTTTCTAAACGTTGGTCATTACTTTGACATTTTCCAGAAAATCGAAACAAAAGAATTAGAACTACTGTAAACTCTCGATTACACGCTTTTAACAATAACGAATTATGTGTAAATCGTATAATGAATATTCTAAAAATAATTTGCCAAACATTGCAGCCATGTGTCTAGAAGGATCATATGAATCCAAAAACTTGTTAAAAATGAATGAGAATTATAAATATTCTGGACTATTTCTTTTTTTGTCTTTGTCTTTTGACCCAACTGATAGAAGATATTATAATAGTGATAAAAATGGGGATTTGTAATTATGAATCAGCTGATATTTTGAGGAAGTGACAAATTTGTGAGTCAGCTGATAAGATAAAAACAATTTTACCATTGACCTAATAACTCATAGACCTCTCACCTTGTCTATGCCATACCAATCCAACATATTAAGATAGGAGATTAGGTGCCAAAGGAAAGATTTTAATCCAAGAAAAAGCGGCCCTGTGTAACTTAAATGGTTTAAGTTTCATGAAAATCTCCACATTCGCTCTATCTCTTTTATATGATGTTTACTATAGTCTTTTCTCCATGTTAGCCGTCCATCAGTTGTTAGATCAATGATTTTTTTAAATATATTCTTTTAAGTTATAGCTCTAGTTGAAAATATTTTACAACTTCTAAAAAATAAATGAACTAAAATTGTTTACCTATTTTAATTCAAACCTTTGGGTTTAAAACCTGTATTGTGTTTACTCTTTGTTGTATACTTTTGTGTTTGTAATGTAAATATCTATTACTTATAATATACAATGTAATTAACCATTAATGTGACCCAATAGCCATAAATGTTGCGGCTATAAATAATTTAAAAAAAAAATATATATATATATAATCATTTGATCTAGTTTATTGTTTAAGAATCGCAAAAATAACTGTATCTATTCTGAATTAATAAAATTATATTTTATTTTTCTTGACTCACACCACACAAGTAAGTATAAGAATATGTCAGTTTAAATTTAGAGCAAAACTATAACCGCTTCTGGTCCCGTGTGTAAGTGTAACACTTGATCACATCAATGTTCATTTAAAAGAACAAAGACTAAGTGTAACTATTATAATATATACATATTTAATACTTGGGTCGTTAATTTTATAGTACAATAAGTTTTCTCTTTATTTGTCGACGTAGAATGGCAAATAGCCAAGAGTTAAGCAGGTGAAAACATACCTGCCTACCTACTATTAAATTGCTAAATGACGTTAAATTATGTTAATTTAATGTTACAATAAATAACTGTACATAAGTAAACTAGGGGTTTCACTGGCAGTTTAGAACTTGTACATTTTACAGATATGTCATTTAATATTTATCAATTTTCGCAAACGATATATAAAACAATTATTTATTACAATATTTAAAGCTTTAAATTATAAGATCATTCCAAACTGTGTAACACTATGCGTTTTTTTGTATCTTATAAATAAATAGATATGTTTATTTACCAATTTTCAATGACATAAACTGTTGTTTGCAAGTAGGAAAATAAAAATAATTTTAAAGTAACTTATTTAAACAATTGACTGTTTTTTTAAAAGTATTCTGTAGTACTTTACCTTATAAGTTGCCTGTTTTTAACAAGTGCACTTTTTTTAGTTTTGAACAGCTGAATGGAGATATTCAAGTGTGAAGTAAATGATAGGGTTGGGAATCCGAAAATCCGGATTTTCACACAAAAAAAAAACAGTTAAAAATCGTATAAATACTAAATATTATTACAATAAAAGAACCAAAGTAAAATATTTTTATACAATTTTTTTTTAAAAACGTCTTAACCTTGACAAATGGTCAATCTGGTATCTTTTGGATACCAGATTTTGAAATTTCAACAAATTCCAAATCCAAAAGCAAGTTTTCCTTTTTGACATTGAGTTTTATTTTTACATTTTCAACAAAAACATTTTGCTTGATATTCATATTTATATATTGTATATTTGGAGAGTGAATTTGTCAAACGTTCCAAGTGCCAAAGTATAAAAATTGAACTGTATATGATATTATAGGGCGGGTCGTACAGTGTTTGTTTCACTACTATTATACTTCTTAATATTCTTTATTAAAACCGTCTTGACACGGACCTTTGCCGGTGTCACCTTATACGGCATTCGATTAACATTATATTATAATACCATTTAATAGAAGGTAGTCTGTGCGTGTAATATATATATATATATATATATATATATATATACAATGTGTATTCTGTCGTGGTGGACACACGAAAAATAGTCATTCATTTTTTTTTATACCAACGACACTTTAACCTAACCATATTATGTAGTGTATTATTATTTTGTGTAACCACGGGGCATCATCAACAACAGCCAATGTGTCGGGACAATAATAATTGACAATGTTTAAGTTGGACACGATTTCATTAAATTAACTAATTAATAAAGTAAATAACTATCCTACGATAGGTTATCTGGTTCGGTTGTAGCATAGAAATAATTACACTGGTCAAGAAAATTGTTGGTAACAAGAAAGGGGCTGATTTTTGAAATACCAGTAAAATTTAATGTTTATCTCGTTTTGACTTACTTTTTTTGATTTGGAGGTGTTTTGTTTTCCAGTAAAGTGGTTGTGTTTTTTGTTTGTCAAGTTAAGTGATTCTGATGTCAAGAAAGTGTAAAAATGACCCTGACAAGTTTTGAGTTATATTTATGGTGAAATTACTTTGAAAAAACACAAAGGAGAAATTTTACACCAACATTCATTCCAACCTAACCTAACCTCTAACCTTATTTTTGATCATAAAAACTGTATTTTTGGAAAAAGTGAATTTTTGTTGACCAGTGAATTACTAGACCAGACAAGTAGCTGTAGGTAGTATATGACATTTTGTAATCCAGAAATAAACAATTTCGACCCTTCCTCTTGAGAAAACATTAACCAGAGACGCGTTTCCTACACTGTACAGTGTGTTATACCCTTTTTTTTTTTGAACAATTGTTTAAAATTAATTGATCGATATGAGGGTCGTTTGCTGATCTAGTCTGAATGTGCTTGGCTCGCATTACGCATAGGCAATTGCATTGTTAAAAAAAATAACTACATTATACCATCTTTATTTTAAGCCCGTATGTGTTTATTAACAAAATGCATATTATATACAAGTATAATAATATTATATTATGGTGTGCACAATTTTTTTTTTGTTTATAAAATAAACCATACACTCTAGTACTTAACTTACTTGGTCGGGGGCACAATGTGTCTCATCAGCTTGTAATAAAATAATGAATTGCGTTTTATAGTCCTTCCGTTTGGCGAGTATAATATATAGGAAGTCGAACGCCTGCAATGAATATTATGATGAACAATAGACCAATATATGTATATAGTATATACAATATAGAATGGACGTTGTTGGTATACACTATATCGTACATAGTATTATTATTATGTAAGCGTGCCAGGAATTAGCGATGAATATTATCAAGATTGAGGAACTGCACACACACAGCTTAAGAAAATCAATCTGACCGTCAGAATAATAATTATATTATTTTATTGTCACAACAACTCATCAAAGTTGTGCGCGTCACAGAAAAGCCCATTGCAATTATTACTAAAGGGTGTCCTAAAAAAGAACGCCCGATTTGAAAAAGCCGCCATATTTTTTTGTTGGCAGCATTTGTTTTGCTATTTTTGTTTTCACTTATCTGTTATCATTGAGGTTTTGCGTTGAAAAGGAGTTTTGTGGTTGGCTTAGTGATTGTTTGTGTTGTGTCGCAATGGAAAGGTACAGTAAGGAACAGCGGGTTTTAATATGGCTACATACCTAATAATAAAAACAATGTCGGTATAGTGTAATAACGAATTTATTCTTATGAATAATACATGATATTTTCATGGGTTTGAAAATATATTATGTACAGATCAACGGCAACGTTCTAATGTAAACACTATTAATTTTTCCACAACCTACTACTAGTGCTTATAATAATTTTTAAGATAAAACGAAATTCTTCAAATATTTATCACGCCAGTATATAAAATATATACAAATCGGCGATTATTCAATGTTTTTATTATTGTCGACGTTAATAAAATAATATGTTTTTGCTTTTAAGCTATGTATTTTTTTTTTTTTGAAACGTTTTATTATTTTGTTTTTTCTCATTCTAAGATCAAAATTCCTCTCGGTCGC